AGGCCTCTTAAACGGGCCACCCTGTACCTAATCGAGAAACATATTCAGGGGAATATTAAGTGTATTTGATTGGGTGGACCAAAATCCGTGCTTTGGAGCCCGTATAAACGGGAAATGCAAACTTCGAGCCACTGATCTTTGGGAGAGGCACAATAAGCGTTTTTATTTATTTAATATCTTTATTGCAGAAGTTATAATTTATATAAGTTGCTATGTACCAAACAAAAGACCACATCACGGGGATAGAGTTTAACCTCGCTCCTTCAGAGCGTTTATTAAATTTTTTCGAGGTACTACGGGAATATTGGTCGGCACCTCATGTTGACGTTAAAAGTCTGGTCGAGTTCGCCGTCATATTAACAATTAACAAATCAATTGAGGGTACTCGGAAACATGCACTGATATCGGATTAACGACGTGAAACACTCAGCAGGTAAAAAACCATGCGGGTGCTCTAACCTGATCGTTTTTGGTCTGTAAATGAATGAATTGAAACCGTAGTGTGTCCTACGTAATGGTGGTAATGGTGGAGAGAATGTGTTTGTTGAACGTGTTGTCTTCTGTACCGGTATTGGTATAAACAGCCCAAGCCTATAGTAAATAATAACAATTTAAATCCACATGTTGCACAACCGCCGTTGTGGAGTGTTCAAAATTTAGAAACAACATTACTAACCGCAGTGAATATAATCAAAGCACGCTTTGAACTTCGTCGAGTTATGCATTTGCAGATAAATAATGTCGACACTTCAAAGAAAATATTGGCTGCGACACAATAACTGATACCAGTTCCTTTCCAGACCAATAGCATTTTTCAAAGCCTTTCCCATAAAAGATTCTTCCGCCAAAGTCGTGCAACGAAATGCTTTCTGAATCACAACATTATTTTACTTGAATAGAAAACCTATTATAACAGAGGCGTTCGATGCAACCCTTATCTTTTAATTGAAATCAGGCATACAGCCACGAATACTAAAAACGATTGAGGGTTGTTATAAGTGCCTTTGGTGTGATTTTTTCTGCATAAAAAGGGTCCAGGAAAGTTAATGTAAATTTTTGTTATTCCCTTTACGTATTTTATAAAATTATTATTTTCATTCATGTGATGGCGGACATTAAAATCTCTATACAGGAAGTACCATAGGGAAATTCGTCGAAATGTTATGGAAAATCTATAAATAGGAAAAAATCCGGATAAAATATTTCCAAGATGGTGGTACATCGTGATATATCGGAAGAGGGTATCATAGCGTCCTTATGTACAATAGTAGAAAAAAAGGTTTAATAAAAAAGTTGTAGGATGTGGGTTAATGTACATTTTAAAAATATTATAAAAAATTGTAAAGTCATAAAATATATATATTTTTTTAATGACACAACCCGTATTTCTTAGCACATTTGAGCTCCTTTTGGTGCTCTCTTATGTGCCGAAGTATATTTTTATTTGCTTCAATATTTCAAGAACAGGCTTCGAAAAATTAGAACAAAATGTTTATTAAAATTTGTTAGATCTGTTTTGTTCCAGCTGAATAGTGCGAACAGTAATGCTACTAATTAATAATAGTCTAACAATTAACCGGTTTTTCTTATACAGGGTGTTCAAAATTTGGTTACAAAAATGACAACTTTAAAATCAGTTTTTTAATTTCATTTTAAGTTTTAATTTTAATTTAATTACAAGCATATTTTGTTACTACGAATGTATTAAAATTCTGAATGGTTTTCGAGATATTTACCAAAAACCATAAATATCCTACATTTCCTGGATTCCTCCTGCGTGCGTTTTTGTTGAATGGAACTAGCTAACGTTTCGCCAATCATCCTGTTGACTTCTTCAGAGCTTCACTGAAACTGGCTGGCATTTTACTCTGTACCTGCTTTTATGTTGTTTGAAGGGGGCGGAGCTAAATGATGGGCATAAACACCGTCTCGGATGACTGATTCCCATATTGGCGACACGTAGAGACCTAAGTCGCTGTTAAGATTGTTAGGTTGCTTATAGATTTCTATAGATTCTCGGATTTTTCGTTGGTAGAAGAATTGATTACATGCAAGAATTGTAGTTTAGTTGAATAAAATTTTATGTCCGGTTTCGCGATTGTGTTCGGCAACTGATGAGTTTATTTGCCTTAGTCGTAATGCTCTTTCTTTGAGCCTAGTTTATTTTTTTCGTCCGGTCTCTCCAATATATTTTTGTCGCATATGCATGGAATGCTGCTTACTCCTGGCATCTCAAATGGAATTTTGTCTTTGACGGACCGAAGATGTTGAGAGATTTTTGGACATGTGGTAAATCTGGTTTTGACGTTATATTTCTTTAGAACTTTCGACATGGGTTCAGTAATGTTTTGAATATAAGAAAGGACAACATTGGCAAGTGTGGGATTGCTTTCGGTTTCATTGCTATTGGTGAAGTGAAGTGAATTGGAAGGCTTAATATCTGTAATGTGGAAATTATTAGAGAAAAGAGCAGAGGTAAGGTGTTTTAATTTTGGGTTCAATGGCTCGGACTGAGATAGTTTTACGGCTCTGTAAACAAAAGAGTTGATAACCGATATTTTTGGGCCGGATGGTGATGTGACAATGCATTAAGATGCCAGGAGTTTACAGTATTCCATGCATATGCGGCAAGGAATACATTGGAGAGACCGGAAGAAAAATATCAACTAGGCTCAAAGAACATGGAAGAGCATATAAACTTATCAGCAGTTGCCGAACACAATCACGAAACCGGACATAAAATTTTATTCAATAAACTAAAATAAAATGACTCAGGTTTCTACCTGTCATCCGAGGCGGTGTTTATACCCCTCAGTTAGCCCCGCCCCTTCAAATATTATAAAAACAATTTCTGAAGAAGCCAACAGGATGATTGGCGAAGAGTTAGCTAGTATAACAGTAGCCTGTGGGAGTTTCTTTGAAAAACTACCATTAATATCCTCATATTGGGAAATTATCAGCCATGAGTGGCTCAGACCCCAGAATTGAAATATTATCCCATCAAGCTATGGAAAAACAAATGGAACTCTTCAATAACAAATGATTTTGGCATATTTAGTTTCTCATTTAGTTCTATTTTGGAGTATTAGTTTTTTAAAATGAAAATTTCAAGGGCAGATTTAATTGATGTGGTATTTGTCTATCCAGATCTCATAAGCTTATGAACTATAAAAGGGAAAGTCAACCAGTTACTAAAAAATTCAAACATGTGAGGCACTCGTAGGAGAAGAGGTTGAAATTAGTGAGAGGTACGTTCAGCGAACTTTAAAAGTGCATCAACACCAAGCTATGAGTAAAAATGAAAACTTACAAATAACAATTAACAAATGGAAGACATTTTGAACATTTGTTAAAATGAATTGCCAATAGTTCATATTAAAGTTTGTATTCTTTTTTTCATGGCTGTCTATGATATTCACCCAATACTTTTTTAGTTTAATGAGGGTTTTTGTGGTTTTGGTAAATATCTCTAAAACCATTTAGAATTTCATACATTCATAATAATGACATATGCTTGTAAATTAATTCTGTATTAAATAACGAAATGAAATACAGGGTGTGCCATTTAAAAATACTGATTTGGAAGTTGCCATTTTTGTAACCAAATTTTGAACAAATTTCTATTTCGTGCTCTTGAAATATCGAAGCAAATAAAAAATATTTTGGTTAGTTTAAGAGGGAACACCAAAAAGTAACCTAAATGTGCAAAAAAATACAGGCTGTGTCATTAACAAAAAATGAGAGGTGACACTTTTTTTGACCTTCCTGTACATCTAGACATATTTTTAAAATATGCATCTAGCCACATCATACAACTTTTGAATGAAACTTTTATTTCTACTGTTGTAAATAAGGACGCTCGACGCACCAATGCAGGACCCTGTATAATATTTCTTTCTGAATTCATCGGTAAATTCTAGAGAAATTTCAAGGAGCATTCTTTACTTAAATTCCACTGTTTCTGAGATATTTAACCTTTTATGTCAAAAATGACGTTTGCAGACCGAATAACATTTGTACCTTTTTCCTACACGGAATCCTTTAAAATTTTACCTTACACTCTAGAAAATAGTCTGTTGAACAAATTTAGTTAGTAATTTCAATTATAATAATAATCCAAATTAAATTGAGAAAAATAAAAATTGTGTACGAGTTTCACCGGCATCTTGAAAATATTGTAGCCTGATTGCCCCCACATTTTCAAGTTTTGCTGTTTATAGTTTTCCAACAACAGATGACAAAGTTCCCGGTGGGATACCCTGCGTATTATTTATTGTGACTAGGTTATAGGTAATTTATTAGAATTTAATAAAGTATTCGCAATAAAATTTATTTATTTATTTATAGCGTAGACTGATACAATTATGAAACTGATTAATAATCTGATTATAATTTCATGTCGAGTTCTCTTTTTCAAACAAAATAAAATTGCCCTAAATTATTTTTAATCGACATTTTAGTTGCTCGTTAAATGAATAAATCGTATCGTATCCTACCCTAACAAGCATACTTAGGTTGGCTAAAAATAGGCATTTTAAAGTCAATACTGCATAACTTTTAGCTCTGCAAAAACAGTAAATTTTCAACCAAAAAACCAGGAGCACCCAATGTCAGAACTATCTGAAGTTGTAAACTCCTTGAGCGCGCTGTGACATAAATAAGAGGTGGCATGAAAAGGAACAGTGTGTTATATTAAAAATAATTGATGATTTTCATTTTGGAAGCGCCACAAGAGGAAGTTTTGGATGACACTTAAAACGAAAGAAGAATGAATCGGTTACATTTAAAAAATATAAACTTTACTAATTTTTACAGAGATAGAAGCAGAGAGAAAAATTTCTATTAACTAGGTATTTTGATAATTTCATATTGTCGCACTAATTTTACCCAGAGGCTTCTTAACCAACTAGTTAATCAATGAAAATTTAAATGTTTTTTTTATATATACCGATTAGTTACATGCAATGATCTAGGGGACATTTTCGAAGAATCTAACTTACTTGGTGCAAATGCTAGGTGTCGGTCCAGACTCTGTGGTTGATTGTCTTCCCCACGGCAGACTCCTGGCAAGATCCGCCAAGGTCTCTCTTCGGTGGAGCTGTTTCTGTTGTTTCTTGTTGCCACCCCATTCGCGGAGGATATCTGTGAGTTGTGCTAGAGATGACCGTCTTCGTCGGCCAGGTGCGGGAGGTGAGGTCTCTTGCGTTTCCGTGGGCGGGGAGATTGAGCATATTTGCGTAGCTGAATCTCGCCGACCACCTAAGCGCTGGCGGATGGTGGATTCTTCCAGCTATGCATTAATAAGACGTAGGATTACTCGATTGACCCAAACTTTTGTGGTATTTTCAAATACGAATGGCTTTCGGCCGTATCTCATTAAGCAACAAAGTATGTTTTTGGAAAATCGAGCAAGAGACTATAATTTATAAAGTTGTCCCCCAGAGGGTAGAAACACAGTTCAAAAATTGCCCCTATAAGTTTCAGTTCAAAATTTGAAAATTGTATTGTTTTCTGTATCTGTTGATGCTGGTTGTGTCATTTAGCCTACCTCTGTTCATATTTATTTAAAAGAGGATTTTTCTCTTGTCACAAAAATAGTTAAAAATGGTTTTTGAGTTATATAAAAATGTCCCCATAATTTTTTTTTATTTCGACTAAGCATGCCTTGGCATTAGCTGGACTATTTAATATTAAAATTTATTGTATACTAATAAACAGAACTTTATTATTTTCAAGTTCCCATTAAGAATATTTTCGGGTATTTGTATTTACTTTAAAACTTGCCTCACAATTTGGGAAAATATGATGTAACGAACTATAAATGCCATAAGAAACGTACCTTGATCAGGTATTTAACATTCATATGCAAAATGTAGAATTATTTTTTGTATTTAACATAAGACATAATAAACATAAGACATTACCTCGAAAAACTCGATATAAATACAATTTCCACATTTTAATACATTGCGTACAAAAGTTGACCCATATGTTTTTCGATTTGTAATTTGGACGACATATGTGGTTGTTTGGTGTTTGCCATTTTTATACATTTATTATTTTGTTTCTTATCACTAATTTATAATATGAATATAATTTACAAGAACAGTTATTTGCAAAGTTACATTTCTAAGCCTAGTATGTGATACCACAAATATGGAAACATTCGCTGACATGATTTATAAAATTATATTTATATTGTTATTTATATTATACGCTACGTTCATGAAATAACCACCTGTCTGTCTCTATCAAAAAAAGTTGATAGTTAATATTTTGCAAATATTAACATTGAAATCTTCCTTAAATATTCATTCTTTTTTAAATGTATACTACGCATCCAGTATACTCAGTAATCCCTTACAATATCATTAATTGGAGGAGACTTGACAATAGACTTGATCGAATTTTTGCAAAATAAATTAAAAAGAATTCTATTAATATACACCTTAAAAGCAATAGTCATGCAGATATGTCTTTAGAACTGGATTTTTTGAAACTGTGGCAGGTGTATTAATTTATATAAATAAAAATAAAGTAAACTTTCAAACAAGATCTGACATTCATTCTTACTCGATAAGAAGCAAACACAATTTTGAATTAATAAATGTTTTATTATTTTATTATTTGGCACGAGCGGAGCGCAGCGGGGGAGTGTTAATAAACGAGCGAGTTAAAAACTTCATCAAAGTGTTGCACATTATACTTTTTCTACGACCGTTAGTTTTTGTGTACATTTTTGCAAAGCAACACGAATACATTCACTGACATGACCGTCAGAAGCGACAAACGTCAAAATTCAAGCCGTGCGGTAAAATCTCAAATTGCTATTTCCTGTACCGAAATTTTCCTCTGTAATATTGCTACCACTGAAAAATTGTCTACTCTACTCAAGTTCTATCAGTCAATAACACTATTCACTAAAATAAAAAATAGATATTTAAAAAAAATAAATTATGCAAGTTAATGTAATATATTAATTATATAATAATGTCATATATTTTTATGATGTACATACAAGCACAGGCTATAATAGGCACTGTATGTATAAGCGCCATTCGTTTCTCATCATGGCTTTAGTTCGGGGCTGTCGGCAGCTGTTAGCCTGGATGTCAAACATTTTGTATGACGCAGCTCAAAATATTTTGGGATTTGAAAATCTTTTATCTGTTTGTTTAATGCGTGAAATCAAATATCGCGGAGCATACAATTTTGATAAAATAATGGATGGAATGATAGTGACGCTGCCGTAATTATCTGTTTTGGTGGGACATGAGGACTGCGTTAGCTTAATATTGACAAAAACAGAATCCAGGCTAAAGAATTGCCCATTGAAATGTTTCAAAACATTTTGCGCAAAGTGCTTCGAAATTTTACTATTTGTTGTATTTGTTGTGGTTTGGTAATAATCTGTTGTGTGTTAATGTTTGATAAAATAATCGTGTTTATAGTTTGATTTGCTCTTTTGTAATACGAAATTCGGAGATACAATAAATTAATGAAATTCATGAGTACAATTTTCTTAAATCATGCTAGTTGGTAAGAGTTTAGTATTCTCTGACTATACTAAATTCTCACATTATTTTAAGACGAAAATTGTAACAATACAGTTACAATACCTTTGATACCCTTACAGTAAAGTAAAAAGAAGCAGCTAGCGGCACGCTGTGCGAATCGGACAACGTACTAGAACTATGGTTGTCGATGCCCGTCAGACTCCGAACTATTATTTTTTTCTCTTGGTTTTAGTGCCCTACGTGTACTTTTAAATTAATAAAAATCAAAATAAATAAGAACTAAAAGTTCAGATTTCGTGAAAATTTGAACTTTTCTTATTTATTTTGATAAATGGATTTTCATCAAGTAGGAGCCAGTTCAATTTAAATTAATATACGAGTAAACAGTGTTTAGTTTTCTCTCGCAACTGTATACTAATAAAATCGTTCTCGAAATACACGGTGCTAAAAAAATGAAATTTGATACGTTTTCTTTCTATTGTTAACTAGTGGCAAACGATATTCCAGTGATATTTGATTCACATAATAAGGAATTTTAGTACTTTTTTTTCATAAATATTACGAATCTGTTAAGCATTCAATATTTTTATCTCATCTAACGTAAAAATTGATTTAAGGCAAATTATGTTTCTTGCATTTTTCTCGTATCTCTTATGGGCAATCATTTCAATTGCACATGTCGGTTTAATTACAGGATTAGCTACAGCAATAATAGTTATCATTACTGTGATAATTTTTGATGCGCTCTGAGGCATAGTTAAAAATAGATTAACAAGTGTTTCAGGCACCTTGGATTTGTCGATTTATCCAAATAGTTTAGAGAGTAGTAAGTAGATATGAGTAGGCTTTGCTTCGGCAACAACAACAACAACATTTCTTTATTTGGAGAATAGGTAATTCGCGTAACATTAGCAACTAAATTACATTTTACCGCTTACAATTGAGTTTTACGTTAGATAGGATAAAATTATCCAATGTTGAACGGGCTAACCTTATTTATTTTGGTTAAATTATGGTACTTGTGCATCAAATATCATTCGAAAACTATTTGGCACTAATTAATAGTAAATCATCAAATTTAATTTTTTCAAAAAAATTGTATATATGTATATATATATATATATATATATATATATATATATATATATATATATATATATATATATATATATATATATATATATATATATATATATATATATATATATATATATATATATATATATATATATATATATATATATATATATATATATATATATATATATATATATATATATATGCTTTTGCAATTTATGTTGTTGGTGTTTAATAATGATTTTAGAATCTAGAATAAACCCCCTTATATACCTAGATCAAATTTGTGTCTTCCATAATCCATACAGTTTATTTATCTTGATGTTTTTGACCATCTTTTTTCAAACACCGTGTCAAGTTGCATACAACATGGCCTTCGAAGTGCTTTCGATTCATACAGTTCAGGATATAGGAAAGGAAGTACAGCCTATAAATAATAAAAGTGATGCCAAGCTGACAGTCTAAAATCCCTAATACATGGAAATGGTCACAGAATCAATAGCAAATCGAGAATCGTAGATAAATGATCTCATAACCGCTAAAGTGATTTAAAGTTTTAAAATTTATCACGTTCAGTATTAATAGTTTGAATTAATAAATCATTATATTTTAATTAAATTGCATTAAATATTACGAAGAAAAAACGTGAAGCTGAATAGCGGTTAACTAAAAAAGTGTTTAAAATTCATGGTGTTGAATTTCCATTAACTTGATAGTAACAGCAGACAAGCATTTCATATATCCATTATTAATAATATTCCTATAACGTTGCATGAATGAGTCGCAGGCCAAATGAAATTTAGCGATAAATAATTCATTCTATAAAACAATTGAGAGAATGTTATTAACCAGATCAACGTGAAGATAAGGAAAAGTTTCGTAGAGAATGTGTTGTGGACGCAGTGTCAGCCTCGACTGTGGTTTATATCTTTGGAACTCTGGTGTAGTAGTGCAGTGAGTTTTAATTCATTGATTTTCCACAGATTTTTTTGAAAGTGATTATGCTTACACTTTTGGAAATTTTGGAGCCTGAACTCTGGATTCTGCGAAGTATTGTGGTCATTCAAGTTTGCGGAGTTTTAATGGTAAAAGATTTTGAATAAACAACAAATTAAGAAGCTTAAACATTGCTGATGAAATGTTGTGCGGTAATAGATACGCAAATGCTGCTTCGTTAATCTGAAGAAACCTCCAATAAGAAATAAAAACAAAAAAAAAATTGTTATGTGTTTCAAGTACCAGAATCTTGGGAGAAATGTGAATTAAATAATTCATTCACAACAGCTCTTCTTTGTTTATCTGTATGCTAAAAGCAATGATAATATGGAACAATATGCAAACAAAGACAAACCAAAAATGTAATTAGAACTACCACTGCAGAAATAAACAAAGCGACTCGATGCGACCTCGTCCCCTAATTGAAATGTCATTTCTTTTCGGCGCAGAAAGCGACTAAATTAGTTCTTCTCATTTCAGTTAAACGCGGCAAAGATTCAGATTTAATTGCACTTGCAAAGTACGTTTTGCTTAATTAGTAAATTTAGAATTCCGGCTTTTCTTATAAGGAATTTACGAGATTTCGTTCCAAATTTTCTGCCAATTTGCAGTGTTTTGTTTGCTAATGTGCCAAGAGGCGCGAGGGAGCATTTTGAAGTTTTCATCGGCGATACCAGGGCAGCTTTTAAAGAGTTTTGCTAAAAGTTTTGATGTGATGAATATAGAATAGAAGAAACCGGAATATATTTCTATCCGAAAATGATCTTGTTCCCTAATATTATATCGCGGTTATGGTGAGCCATGTTCGATTTTTAACATAAAAACAGTGGGTTTTAGTTTTATATTAAAGAAATAACCGTTGCCTAATATTTACTGTACCTCTCAACATCGCGCCAATAAAAATAACATCCCATCTACCGTTATTTATCATAAGTGACTCAAACCAGAGATTTACAAATAAAAGAATAATTGATAAGGCAATGAATATTAGAGCAGGTTATCTTTTCATTACATGGGTAACCAGTACTTTTTACAAAACTTCTTGATTCCTCCTGCGTCGGTTTTTGCTGAGTCGAACTTGCTGAGCGTGTTCGACTCAGAAATTTTGTAAAAAGTATTACAGTAGCCTGTGGAAGTTTCTTTGAAAAATTATGGGTAACCAGTATTGTTGGATGAATATCTACCTACCCCTATGTGATCTGTAAGTGTGAGAAATAACGGTAGAAGAGAAGTTATTTTTTAATGGTATAATGTTGAGAGTTGTGGTAAATACTAGGCGTTGTTTATGTTTATTATCTATTTTCAGTTATTACTGTGACACCTACATAATAATTACATATATTTAAAGAAAATGGATATTGAACTGAGGTGGCTTTTACTTTATGAAAATCCATTTATCAAAATATATAGGAACTAAAAGTTCATCAAATGTCATTTAATGAAGACACGGTGTTGTCGAAACAATGGTCATGTAAAAATATATAATTTCGTGAAAATCTGAACTTTTAGTTCTTATTTATTTTTAAAAATGGATATTGTCTTAATTGGGCTTAACTATAAATATTTTTCTTTTACATTCATTAAAAAAATGTGTAGTATGGCATAATATACTATTTCCTAAATAAAAAAACAATAAATAGAGCATTTTTCCCGTTGTCTATACGAGATTTTGGTTTGGCAGCTACCAGAATATTCTAAAACCCAAGTAAGCGTATCTGTTTTATTCACTTCTCTGTCTTCCTACGCCAAACATTTACACTAAATTTTCCTAATTTTTAATTATAAATAAAATAAAATTATAGTATTAGGTTATTTTCAGATGAAAGAATTATTTTCGCCGTTAATTTTTTTATTCGGCAACCAATATTAACAATTATCGAAATTACTAACTATTGTTATTGTTCTGCCCCATATCAGTGGAAAATATCACTTAAATACGTCAGCTTTGTTAACCATGGTCACTTCAGACGTTTTCTAGTTTGCGAGAGATCGGACGTTTTGGCCAGATTCGAGCTATGGTATTTTGACTTTTGTCAAAAATGTACTCAAAAACTTGTGGTCGTAGAAAAAACTTGTGGCACAATATCATATTAAAGATGTCATTTTCTACAAAGAAAGGTGTTAAATTGAAATGATTAAGGAACCAGTATATGAAAAATTTATAGATAAAACATTTTAGCTATAGGATATTGTAGATGAAATAGACTCCCATCGACTTAAGGGTTTTACTTTCAACAGATCAACGAAGTTGACGGTGGAACATTCGTAAAAATTCCTAGTATAAAATAACGATGTTGTGGGTGAGGGACATTTAGTTAAATCTTTCGCAGGTCACATCAGCTCTATGTTATATTTGCAAAGACAAACCATTCAATATTATCCTAAAGTTTATTTTCACTTATTGCAGGCTGGTATTAGTTATAATCGCATTTGTATTTGTGCATGGGTATGATTACGTTCTCTGGGCAGTTTTTTATTCCGGATGAATATTTGCAGAAACGATTAATGCTCCGTGAAGCCACTGAACACGATGATATTGAATTAAATTTATATATACAGTTCGATCAAATATTCATTGAGGCAGTGCGAACCCAATTATCAAATCATAAATGTACAGGGTGACCGAAATTGAAAAACTATTTAGTATTTTTATTTGAATATTTCTAATTTGATAGAATTAATATTTGATTTAAAATATTTTATATTACTAACCTGTGGTACAATTCTAATGGAGGAACTTTAACAGCGTATTCGGTAGATAAAAGTAAGTAAGTAAACATATGTTGGAGAGTCTTGAAATATTGCGAAAAAATCGTTTTTGACTATTTTTCAAAAATTTTTTCTAGATTTTGCTTTCAAACTTGGTAGGTATAATTGAATTCATAAACTTGTTTTTTTTTAACTGGTTGAGTTCGTAAGACCATTTCAATATTTCTAAGTAATAAAAAAGTGTACGCCAATTAGACTAATGCAAAAAAAATGTTTTCGTTTTAGAGGAAAACCCGTTGACGTACCCCTTTTTTTATTATTTAAATGAATTAAAACGGTTTCACGAATGGCACTGGGTACACATAAACTAAGCTGCACTGTAAATTTGTTATTAGGTGGCAATCATATCTACCAAAAATTGAAAGCAAAATTTAGAAAAAAAAAATGAAAATGAGAAAAGACGATTTATTCCGCAAAATTTTAACACCAAAATGTGTGTATAAACTTTTTACTTCTATTTATCTGCTTGAAGCTCTATATTTCTAAAAAACACCGGTTATATTGACATCCTCTCATTCTATATCCGCTCTAATACCCTAGCATACTCTGATATGCTCTTCAATTATTATAAGCTCTGATATTCTAAAATTCCCTGATACTTTAATACATTCTTGTACTGTGTTAGCTGTGTGATATGTTCTGATACTTTCATACCATCTGATACTTTGATATGCCCTGAAACTCTGACAAGCTCTGATACTCTTTTGTGCTCTGATACTTTGATACGTTGATATTCGGATATTCTCTAATACTGACATCTGACATGTTCTGATCCTTTGATTGGCTTTAAACAGTTTATCATATTTAGATATAAAATAAATGAATAATTATAACTTTTATTATTTAACCTAAAGAAACATAATACAGAATAAGTTTTGCAGTTTGGTAGAATTGACGAACTGTCCACCGCCATGTTGCTTTTTGAACTCCGCTAAGTATTTTTGGTTGTTTTGATTATTTTAAATAACCGCCTATGTGTATGTTGAGCCTGTCTTAACATTTCGTTCTATCGTCGTTTTAAAATAAATAAGGGCCTCTATATATCTAGTATGCTATATACGATAGAATATTCAACTATGAAACTAAACCGTCATTGCTAAGATAAAATTGAGAAATGTGCAAATTAAAATTGCATGAACAAAGTGTTCACGTACTAAATTGGCGAAAATATTTTCATAAGGGACCCTCGCTGTAACGGCCAATGGCAATCTTCCAACATTTAATCATATCACTTCCGCTAGATAGGTCACTGTTTACATTTTGTACCTACTCACCTGTTCTCGAACTAGGTCATCCCAACCGTTGCCTCCCTGCCAAACCAGGCCAACTTGATGCGACAGAATCGGTAAATTGCAAACAAAACAAATCGCCGTCATAGTCCTGAAAACAAAAGAAAAGAGCGTTTGCCATCTAGCTAAATTCAGTGATGGGTTGTTGAATAACCGCTTTGATCACACCGTGCAATCTAAAGTATAATGCGTTTTCAGGTCATATTAAAATTGGAATTGTATCTGCCGTAAAGGTGGAGATGTAAAATTGTATTGATTCTAACTTTAGCTTGGAGCTCAGCTGTTAACTAGTATTTGAAAAGTTGTATATCTAGCCTCCTCGTTTTATGGCAGATAAATCCCACGAATACCGATACTGAAAAATTGTTTAAAACAAACTAAATCACATTACTGAACAACTTCAAAATTCGACGGCAAACTAAAGCACTACATATACGTCGTGAAAAATGATAAACTTCGGTATAATGCTAGCGCTAACTATAATAGAGAAATAACATCATGTCCTAATGAAATCGGTGCAGGATTTTGCAAAAAGTGTGCAATGTAGTGACGGCTTAACGACATGCCATATTGAATCACTTTATTTATACCATCCGACAAAGTCTGCTTTTTCTTAAACTTACTTTGATTTATAAAGTTTTCGACAGAAACTTTGTCCGCGGAAATAAACATTCGTATAAAATACTTCTACATATTATTTCCAGGAATATCCAGTCGGTTTTGCAGCGATATTCCTGAAAATAATCTCTATTTTAATAGGGAATATATTACATAACATTCGAAAACATTTCTAGCTAAGCAGGAGAAAGGAACAAAATTTATTTTGTTTTTACTCAAACCGCCGTTACGAAAATATTTTGCGTTGCAGTTTTGTATTTGATCTTGCAATAACTTGTTTTGACTTCAAAGAGCTCCTTTAAGCTAACTAACTAATACCATCTGTCAGTTCATTTATGCAACTTGTTGTCAATAACCTTTGCTTACATTAATTACATAATAATATGTTAATTGCGTTTTTTTCGACGCTCGCCTACTGCTTTTTTTTATACAATTGTTTGTATGTTATTTTATTTATAATATAAAGAACTAACCCAGTTTTTTTAAATAGCACCCTTGTAGGAACAAAAACTTTTTAAAACCGGTACTTTTTTGCAACATTTTGACACCAAAATTTTTAAAATCCGTTGAAAAATAAGCTCACAGGAAGGAAAAAACCAGATAGGAAATAGTATATTATGCAACAAGTGCGGTAAACTGCATCTAGTGAGTTAAAAAGTTTACCGAACGTGTTGCATACTATACTTTTCCTACGACCGTAGACCGTAGTTTTTGGGTACATTTTCACAAAACACGAATATATTCACTGACATGACGGTCAGAATTGACAAACGTCAAAATTCAAAGCGTGGGAAATATCTCCGAAAACATCCGATTGCTCCCAAACCCTAGATCGGTGTGTAATTAGGTATTTTACAGACGGGAGTAGAAAAATATATTTTTATAAAAACAAAATATTACTTAGGTGGCTTTGCTTCTATTCATTATCAAGTCGGCACGATTAAAAATTCTGACAGTTTGTATATTTTTATATGATTATCGATTTTGTCGTGTTATCAATTTACAAATGGAGAAAAAGTTGATATGTTTCTGATATAGAAAAAACTCTCGACAGACCCGTGCATTGTATGCAGCCCGGAATCACAAAATAATCGACATGATAATTTTATTATAAGTGAAAAAATTTAAATCGATATTGTCGGATACGTCAACATAAATCCAGCTGTGTCGGTAAGAGAAGTGGTATTAATTAGAATTATGCATCTCAGAGAATCTCTGAGGAGAATTTAAAAAAAAACATTCTTTTAAGAATAACCTTCATCAACATCTTTATGAAACTGACTTTGTAAGAAGACTTCGATATTGTAATTGACTCTTAGGTAAACTCGTCGAGCTTGTCGATGGTTCCTTCGGCATTTTTAATTTTACAAACTCGCAGTAATGAATTGATACTGGTTACTTTTGAAATGTTCTACACTTTGATATTACAGACATGGGAAAACTTTTTTATAATCGAAATTGTCTTGTATTATTTTCTGTATACCGACCTCCATCGTGAACTACCACAGGCTTGGTGCACATATACTTAATTTGGGCAATTACCTTCTCCATTTCAACGGATCTTACATGTCATGTCATTCGATCATGTTCTTGAAATTTGAGATAAATTCGATTCAGGACATACACATCAGGCCAGGTATTATTCCACAAACTAATTTGTTTAGAATCAATTAAAAACACACAAAAGTTTTGATTTAGAAAGTAAAGAGATAGAATTGAGAATTTGATTCAATTCTTATTAATTATGTGGAAATAAATAAAAGGTTAAATTTCACGCTATCTTACGTAAGTTACACCGTTTGCATAATTCACATTTGCCAAAGCTTTAATTTTAATTTCAAAATATTTTCTAAAATTTAAAGTCTGCGGGATGATCCACTGTAAAATTTATTGGAATAAATCTCGAGGTAATACGTAATTTTACGCCTGGATCAACTGTCGGTGAGTTGCCTTCGCCGCGACTACCTGGATTTTTCCCATTTCAGGATGCAAATACGGTTCAGTCGCAAATCGGGTACCTACATGAATAGCTTTATTTAGCTCTATATTTTTCTTTTAAACCTACTGAAAATATTTCTTCTACATTACCTTACCACAATATGTTGGAGAAGCACGTCGCTATATAATAAAATAGAAAAACACGTCTCTATGTTCCCAAGAACTTCGTTGGTTTAAAGCAACATATAGCCCGAGTTAAATAAAAGCTAATGAACTGCACTTTGCGGCACGAAGCGCATCGGAGCATTACGTGTCCGAGAAATACCATTATTAAATCATCCAGCAAGTGCTAAATGCGCCGTAGAAGCGCTTTAAGCAATCTAGCAAATTTGTAAGTTGTTTTAAAACATAGTAATTACGCCGTATTTACCTTAAACCTTTTTCGTAGTCTTTCCAGGCTTTAGAATTTGCTTAATTAAATCTAGGTTCATTTTCACTCTGTGTAATTTACTAACAGTGGAGTGATTATTCTCAGTTATAGTCAAGAGAAGTGGAATAACTCATTAAAAATAGTAGGAAAACCTATACATAGCAGCAAAGCAGAAGATGAAGAATATGTGCTGCAATGTCATGGAGTAGTGAAAAGAGAACAAGGGTAGCGGAAGCATGGAGAACGATTCGGACTCTCTGGAAAGACAATAAATAAATCGAAAAAATTGTGATATAGTAATATAAAGATAGAGACTGATACGCATTTGCTAGTTTACGAAATAACAGTTGATCAAATAAAGAAACCATCACATAAGCAGGTACAGAGTGCCAGTTTCAGTTCAGCTCTGAAAAAGTCAACAGGATGATTGGTGAAATGTTAGCAAGTTCGACTCAACAACAACTGATGCAGGAGAAATACGGGAAGTTTTGTAAATAGTATCACAGTAGTCAGTGGAAGGTTGTTTGAAAAATTAACATTCCCATGGAACTGATAAAATGTAGAATGGACTAGAATTCATTGCTGCTTTGTTTAATAAACGCTTATCAGAAGAGGAAAAAGTTCCAGAGGACTAGACTCTAACGCATATCAGTTCTATACTTAAAAAAGGAAACAAGAAGCTGTGGACGAATTACATAAGATAAATAGAAAAAATAAAAATAAATGATAGAAAAAACAAGATCCAGGAATGGTCTTTTTCAAACATTGAAGATTGAACTACTAGAGAACAACAGACTACAATAGACTTAAAATTGGGACATACTCTCTCCCCAACACTTTTCAAAATATATTTTCAAAAAGCACATAATAACTCATAAAAAAATAGAAATAGCTGGAAATCAAAATATGTAAGGAGTTCTAGAAACTACGATTTCGGAAGAATGGACAACAAAAAGAGACATCTAGAACAGAGTACAGCAAGGAAAACAAGCTATACGTACATTTAATTCAATATGGTGGTTCATTAAAAGCAGATTAGTGACGCAAATGACAATCTATAAAGCCATCATAGATATGTGGGAAAGAGTGCTGGCAATTCGGAAAAGGAAATAAAAGAAAATAGTGCGTTATAGAACATATAAATAAAAAGGAAAGAAGAAGACAAACAGAAAGAGTCTTCACTTGCGCAGATACAGTAGAAACAAAACAACCGTTGTGGTATGGTCCCTTAAGGAGGAAGAATCCTGTGGGATGGATGACAAGTAGCAGGCAAGTCGAAGACCAGGAAGAAAATGGATAGACGGGAATAGAAAAATCATGATAAACAGAGCTCGGGATAATAGAAGATGACTGGGGAGATGGGGAAAAAATGACGATCGAAATGCGGAATGCGTAGGAGGACGTAGGGACCTTGCTAAATATATAGGTATATATAACGTCGAGGTAAAAAATGAAGCCATTTTTTGACCGAGTTTCATTTATTATTTTTATTCGTTTTTATGTTAATTTTTTGTTTATTAACTTCCTTGAGTATTTCGCTAGTATCGCAATTCTTTTTCGGACGAGGTTACCTTACTATTACCTTATTATATGGTAAATGTTGCAGTTGTTTTGGGGCTACTGTTGCCACATTATCTCGTAAATTGTTACTCCCTAAGGATATCGTAAAAGTTTTATGCAGAATTTCCCGTAGCGCTCTTTAAGCTGTATTTATTGTTAGATTATGAGCAACTTTTATGGTTCAGTCGTTACGGTCCTTTATTTAGAAAACAAAAAAATATTTTATTTTCTAAGATTTTTCTCTCTTAAAGCTATAATAGATGATTTTGGAACTTGATATTCGACAACATTCTGATTTACTACTGCAACCCATTTTTATGTTTCTAGAAAGTCCACCAAATTGTTATTTTTGAACCGACATTCGTGATAAGGGTCGTAGGCAGTGTATATTTCACCTGGTTTTCTGACAGATCGTTAATAATTATGAGGAGAAAGTCGCACAATAAAATTCATTTTGTTCCTTTCTCTTTACAAATAAAGAGCATTACGCAGATACAATAGGAAACGCTCCACAAATGACAGTGATTTATATGAGATGATGGCCCTTTGTTTAGGTGCAGACCTGCTTGACCATTGGCGGCTACCCAGATGCAAAACTTAAAGCTGTGGTTGTATTGAAACATTTTAAGCTTGCAAAAACTTCCAAAAGTTCGTTTGACAGATTGGGGTGACATTGTACAAATTGCACGGCAATTAATAAATCAAGGAACTTTTTTGTTGAGTTTGTAATAAAATTGTAATATTATATAAATTGTAAAACTTTTAAATATAATGGGATAAAGCTTATATATTTTTGTTGTAAAGTTTTAATATGAAACTCTTATTGACTGGTATGGGAGGTGAACAACTAACTCTTTTTCATATCATATTTGAGATTTGTAGTTTGTAGTTGTAGTGTATTTGCTCTTACCTGGTCCATAATATCAATCAACATACCGCAGACTAAAAAGTTTACTGCGGACTAAACAATGTCGTTTTCGTATTTCAGTCACAGAAAGTGGTGGTTTATTCTGTATTTGAAATAGGGCCACATTGGCTAAGTAACTTTAAAATAATTAATTTTAAGGGATATTCTTTCCAAAATCGTATAAAATTCTTTCCGTAATAAGTCAAAGTCCGAATTTTACTTTACCGATTCAATGAAACAAAAAAACAATTTGAATAGCCGACAACACCAAAATATCCCTCAGACCAGAGAAGGAAGTGGCAAATTGCATCCTTTCTTTTTAAATCGTCACTGTTCGTTTTGTAGCTAGAACAACATAACGAACATTACGGTCTTCAATAAGCAATGCTACTTCAGCTGCATTTATCTGTTAATAGACATCTCTAAGATTTCTGAAAGATATTTTTATACGAGGAGATGTCTGTCTGCAAGCTAAGTTCATTTGCAATGGACATTTTTTTATTCAATTTTGTCAGCTAATATGGATACATAAATAATATATAGAATAAAGTATTTTAAATTATAAATGTTAAAAATTTGTCAATAATCATTTAAATAAGCTCTTCTTGTGTACCTTCTATTGGCATAATGTGTACATTCCATAACAGGCAACAGGTGATACTATAAATTAAAAAAAATTGCTCAATAAATAGTAGTTGTCACAACAATATTCATGGTACGCTTTTGCAAATTCATGGTAATTATTAATCTTACTCAATAAATAATGATTCAGTACAATATCACCTGCCGCGGAAAAGTTATGGAACATACATAACACAACACAAAACGCAGAAAGTCATCATTTTTAATCTGAATGCCCGGTTAATAGATAAGGAGTATTCTATAGCGATAACAATGAAGAGGGGTAATTAGCAAGTGTCGATCAAGTATTCTCCATGGACATTTTGTCGATAGTTATAAATGACTATCGGTCTCCAGGAGAGACGGGTAATCTATCAAATCCTTAATACGATAGACTTTTTTTTTACTCCAAAAAAAGTGAAAATGTCGTTGATATTGAATATCGTTTCGCACGATATTCGCAAGCAGAAGCTATAGCGTTTCCGTAACATAAAACCGTGCAATTTGTACAACAATTCCAACCAGTAAACAACATTTTTACTCCTGAATGCGGACCTGTAATGGCGTAGGCGCGGAGACGGCAACTGCGCCGCCATCGTTCATTCTGACGACGCAGACCCGTGATGCTATCTAGTGGACGATCTTTTAATGCGTTGCTGTCGACGAAGAGTCTTGTATCGGCGGTTCGAGTCTCGACTTAGTTGCTGGTTCCTGCTGAACACCAAACACTTAGTGCTAATTTTCTACATGTTCGTAAGGAAGGAAAGCGGTTGGGACCTAGACGTGTCTTGGAAGTTAAACATTGTTGTTGGGTACTGGATTGTGTGAAAGATCTTATCTAGATGTATTCTACCTGCTTTAGCAGGTAGTTGGTGGTTTTATTTACCATGCAACGTCATAGAGAAAGTATGAAAAACTTTCAGAATAATACTTGTTTTGATCCATGATTTACAGTCAATATATTAAAAGCCTCAATTCTTCCCATGTAAAAAAATTAAACAAAATTCTGATTCTTATTAAATAGATCTACTTAGGTATATCAGTGTTAAATCTAAGAGTGTTTGTATCTTTTTGCAAACAGAATTTGAGAGTTTGATATCCCTAAGAAACAATGAAGCAAGAAGTAAGTTACTATCATCGAAGATTATTGCCAACTCATTTGTGTATTATTATTTCAGGATTTCAGGAATGAGTGATTATAATAGACAATTCTAAGTAACATAGTCGCCAACTCATAAAAGTGCCGATTTAAAAAAAAGAAAAGGGAGTTTTGAAATCATGTTACCATGAAAAATCATATGTATTTGGCAATATCATATTAAAACCGTATGAAATTATAAAATAACAATCGTTTAGTAAACAGTCGCTCAGCTAAATACTGCTAAAAAGTACCTATATAATTTATTGTGGGGCTAAAAGTGTCAAAGTTGATTGCAGATATGAACTCAACAATATTTCTTAAATGAACTTAACGTCATATTTTAAACTTTAAACATGGTTAGAATTTATCTTTTAGTTCGATATTTTCCTTTTCTGCCACGCCGTTTCAATTTAAATAAAATTGCGTACTCCTGAGGTCGAAAGCTATCGGATAAATCTGTTGTTAACTTATATAAATTTCATTGAACAAGTTTTAACCGTGGTTCGAAAGAAACTTTCAACATCCAGTCTCTCAATGTAATTTAAAAAGTTTTGAACACGAGAACAGCCTAGATTTGGAAATTATTTTATCACTGGACAATGCTGAAGCTCCTAGACGCCGTTTTAATCAAGAAGATGGAGTAATAACGTCATTCAGAGGTAAACAATATCAGTTTGAAATGAACATTCAGTTAAAGTACTCACAAAATGTATACTAGATAATTAGAAGTATAACATAAATGCAAGACTATATATTGCATACATTTGTTTTACACTAGTTTTGACAAAACATTGTCAAGACAAATTTTTCCAAGAAACTCCCAGATTCCTGGATCTCTACGTCGGTTGTTGATTCAGCGAGTTTGATTTATCAGGTTTGTAAATAGAATTATCCAAGCCGCTCAGGTCGATATATATATATACATATATATATATATATATATATATATATATATATATATATATATATATATATATATATATATATATATATATATATATATATATATATATATATATATATATATATATATATATATATATATATATATATATATATATATATATATAAAATATGTGAAACCGGAACAGAGGTTGTTAATACCTTTGTTCTTTTTCGTTGACCAGGTCTGTGCAATTTTGTGGAACGTATCCGTTAAAACCTATTTCTCGATCGTCTGTTTGCAATCCCAATTTGCGGAAGTAAAATTTATGAAGCGCAAATAATTCATGGTGTGATTTTCCGATATTTCCGACTGCAAATGGTCTTTTCCTGGATAAACTCGAACAGTGCGGGAATACACTCTCGACGGAAATTGCTTCTTCGAATTCCCTTTTCTACGGCTTCATCATGACCGTGTTGATAATTATTATTTTTTAACCGACTCCTTAACTTAGTATAACAGTTTGAGTTCTACAAAACTGCCAAAATGCGTTTTGTAATGCCCCTGTAATATTGAAATGTGACAGTTTATCTAAATGACAAGGTCTCAGAACCAACTAACTGAATAATTTCCGCTTTGTAGATTGATTTCTCAATAATGATGCTATGTCAGACATTTTTTATCCAGATTTGAATTGGAGCACATACGGGGTGCAACAATCTGACGCAGTTTTTTCCCAAATGCACTTTTTCAAAGCGGACGCCTCGCATAAAGTTTAATTAGAAAACCAAAAATTAAAACGATTAAAAAAAAATTAAGGCTAATTCTAGTGTGGCCAATTGGACCAAATTGACTTTATTAATAAGGTTTGTAGCAAATTCTTGTGGAATGGCATCAAATTCTTCCTGAAGATCATGAAGACTATCAATGGTTCTGTGATGGTGTGGGCCGGAATTTCGAGGACACCTGTCCAGATTTAATATTGGTTGAAAACCGCGGCATAAATAATAAATAATATAATGTTAATATTCTCTAAAACGGATGTTGTTCCCAACTCTTATTTTATCAGCGAGAGATTGATATTATTGCAACATCACCCCGCCTGCACACGGCACAAGTAGCTAACGAATATTTAAACGAAGTGGCTATTAAACAAATAGATTGACCGGCTTGCAGTTCTGACCTTAATCTAACTGACTATCTCTGATACCCATTTCATAAATGCATTCGTCGTATCCCTGCTTTACCGGAGAGCCTTCATGAATTACGCTTCGGGGTGAATTTGATGTTATTCCACAAGAATTTGTTACAAATCTTATAGATGAAGTCAGTTTGGCATAAGGAAGCCACACTAAATATTAGCCTTAGTATTATTATATTTAATTTGTTTAATCTTGATGATCTTTTTAGTTATCTAAACATACGGTTTGATGCTTATTTGTGTTGCGTATTCGCAATTTAATCCAAGACGTTTTGACAGAGTGCATCTTCAATAAAAACAGAGATAATGTATTGAATAAAAAAACAAAACGTGATTTCAGTTGAAAATAGCTGCCACCGCTGTTGCATTCTATATAGTGTTCCAAATTTTGTTAAACAATCTTCGCCTCACGTTTATGCGTAAATCGTTACTACAGGACCAACCAACAGTAAAAAAAAACAGCAAAAACAAACCATGTGTTCACGAGGAAGCCAACTCTTAAATTGGGACCAGCTTTTAGTGAGGGTCGATTCGGTTTGGAAATGGCGACTCGGCATTCTAATTTAATAATTGGCTAAATTATCTAGCAATAGTGATGGAGTTGTAAATAGTATATTATGCAACAAGTGCGGTAAACGGCATTTGACTCACGAGTTTATTTGACATGAGCGGAGCGCACCGGAGCGAGTGTTTAATAAAAGAGTGACTTAAAAAGTTTACCGAACGTGTTGCATACTATACTTTTTCTACGACCTATAGTTTTTGGGTACATTTTCGCAAAACAACACGAATACATTCACTGACATGATTGTCAGAATTGACAAACGTCAAAATTGAAAGCGTGGGAAATATCTCCGAAAACATCCGATTGCCCCAAACCCGTGCGGTAAAATCCCGCGAAATGTCCGAAGTGGCTCGGATTCGTGGAAAACGAAACTGACGTGGTAAAGTGATGCTTCTCGCATGCTAGATCGGCGTGTAATTAGGTATTTTACAGACGGGAGTAGAAAAACAAAATATCGTTTCTTAGTTATACTCGAAAGTATTAAACCACTACTGTGCCTGTACTGAAAATAATTAGACTTGTAATTTATATTTAGAATGTTTTGTTGTTTTAATCTTACCTACTGTTATTTCCGGAAATGTGTTACGTCTTCGATATTTTGTATTTAACTTTCAGTTTGAATTTTTATTGACATTGGAAACCCTAGGGGTAAATTGGTGTAGAAGAAGAAGAAGGAGGTCCTAACGTATTCATATTTCATTCAGTAATTCAGCAACATTTTTTTCCCTGAAAACCATGAAAAAACTGAAAAACTAAACAATTCTTTTAATACTCAGATAATTTAATTTTTTAAATTTCAGTATTACAATTTGCACTGCATGTTAATCTTTAGTAGGCAAAATGTCTACACGACAGAGGCATCATTCCCGAAAAGAAATTCTGACAAAACTCGGAATGACCCGTACCACATGTTATCCAAAGAACTCTCTTTCGCATACTTTAAATGAAGCTAACCAACGATTTAAGGCTTGTCATTGCTATAAAGCTCATAACATAGCTGATCTATGTGGGCTGACCAGTTTGAGTTTTAATCGATGGCTATAACAAGTAATTTGACATTTTTTGTTGGCAAAAAAATCCTTTGCAATGATTAAATTTAGGGTTTTTGTTGTTTTCAAAACATTTTTGTTAGCCATGAATCACTACGTTTGTCACAGAAATCTGGTTCAAAGAAGCTATTATTGTGGGTTTTTTACTCATAACATTAACCATCTGTGTAAGTCGAAACCATGTCAAAAAACATTATTTTCAAATAGCGCTGATTTATCAAAATGTCTCTTGTTTCATGTTAAAAACGAACGACCTTAGATCTCGGTTTATTATTTAAATTCAACAAAGAGAAAAATTCTAACTAAACTTTCGTCCATTACCGATTAAATTTTATTTTGCAAACGAAATTACCAAATGGTTCATATTTTCGCGTTGATTTAATCCCGGGGTTAAATTCGTTTTTAATCTCTCAATGTGCGGATTCTAGTTTTTGCAATTATGGTGGACATTTTAGTGCTTACGCTATTACCATTAACGATCACAGCGTAGATTAACTGATGACAAATGACACATGCTCGAGGTCCAAAATGTAAGGGAATATAATGATCCCTTTTTTCTTCAAACCGAGGCGTCCTATTTTTGGAAAACGCCTATTTTTTATCTCATTATTAAGCACTGATCTTTTTTATTTTCATTTATCATCATCATTAGTGTTTATGGATTATGGCTGTAAATTTTAGGAGTACAACAGTGTTAAAATTAAATTGAATGAATTTATCAATTCAATAAATGAAATGAAATTAAACAGATAAAATACTGAACACTTTCTGTTATTTTATATGTGCATTAACATTTAAACGTGCTGAATACTTTACATGTGAATATTATGGTGTCTAGAAAAGATTAGAACGTCTAAAAGTCGAGTCACGGAAAG